CTGGTGGGGCAGGACAGGGAGAGAGAGGCTGTGTGACAGTATAATGTATGTTACAGAGGTCTGCAGTAGGTAGGGGAACAGTTTGAAGTTTAGGATGAATGCAGGTACTTTCTGATACCAAAAAGTTGCTGCTGGATGCATCCACTGAGTTACATAATCTTCCACTTTAAGTCAGTCTTTTGTCCAATCAGATGGTTGCAAAAGCTTCAGACACAACATAGGAGGGAAGCTTTGATGGAAAAAGGAAGTGTAAGAATTTGGGGTGATCAAGGAACATTGAGCATAGTGAGGGGAAAATAGCTTCCGAGGTGGATGAGCATTTCATTCAGGGCATTGGCTATGGATCCTGCTCGGGGCTTGTAATGCAGTGCCCTTATGAGTGTGCATGCGGAATCTAATAGTCTTGCTGTGTTTCCTAACCTAGAAAATGTAGAGCTGTGTATGCCATACAAATCGCATGCACAGAGGGGGGAGAAGAGAACCATCCGAGCAAGTTAGTGAATTACAGTCCAAAATTAAAGTCCAAAACTGAGTCAAAGTAAAACGAGACTTGGCAAAACTTTTGACATAAGTAAAAGAATGCAAGTCGTCTTTTTATAGGCAGTGAACTGAGACTGTTGGAAACTTTCTTAAGGTCACTTGGTGTTTGACCTACCGTGAAGGCTCTTACTGAAATATCATTATTAATCTCTTGCAATCCTTTTTCTGTTCCCTCCCTCCTTTTTGTTGTGTTCACCTTGTCCAGCCCAATAAATGTTGACTGCAAGCTTCTTGGGCAGGGACTTGTCCCTTGCTGATGCTGCTTGTCACGTGCACTGATGGAAACAAACAATAGCCTGTACAGAAGTAAAATGCTCATAATGATATCTCGGTCAATTAACTAACAATTGAATTGCCTCAAAAGCAGATTGGTTGACAACTCTATCGCTAAAATCCATGGACTGGTACAAAACAAGAGCTAGATAAATTTTGAACTAGACATGTATATGCATCGAAAGAAATCAGTTAAAGCAAGACAAAACACCCAGGAAAAGTATGACAAAACACAGGAAACAAAAAGTCATGTCTATTCACAGTAAAGTCCCACAATGCCAATTATGGAAGAAAAAAGGGAAATAGAAAACAGGGAAGGAATTCTACAGTTCAGTTTTAAATAGATATGTCACTTTAAGAAGTTCATATATTTGAATGCCATGTTCCATACCCTGTTTTCTAGGGTTCAACTCTCCCTCTATCTTGGAGGAGGACTCAGGTGGGAGGGTGGAGAGAAGCTTTTGTCCATTAATTCATTAACTGCGATTGTGAGATCTTCCAGGCCAGAGCAAGTGGCTTTAGTATACTTCATGAACTCCAAGTTCTGATGCAGTTCTCACAGTGCATCAGTGTAGGAGCCAGCAGCTCCACAGTCTGGCAATGGCTCATTAAACAGCAGTCAGTTCCTCAGACCAGTTGGGAATAATAGCAGGCTCAGACCTTCAGAAGGTCTCTGCACATTGCTGATATGGCTGATCCTTTTGAGTGAATTCTAGTTCATATTTGCCCTAGTGATCTGTCCAGGCCTCACTGAATCTTGCTTTACTAGTGTTGATTTGACCCTTTCACGACTACATCTGCAATTCCCTCTTCCATAGACTCCCTGAGTACAGAAAGCTTCCTGCTCTTGACCTTAGGCTATATAATGCATGAGTTAATACTGACACTATCTGTAGATGGACTTGCTGAAGGATGCTGCAGCAATGAGAGGCAAAAATAAAATGTTAAATTTAACTTGCAGGGAGAAAATTCTGAAAAGAACCATTAACGTGACTAAGAAAATACAGGGTGTTTGAGAGAATGGGCAGAACTTTTCAGCCAAACTTGTCTGTCATCTGAACAATGGCCCCAAGTATTCCAAAGGAACCTCTGAAGAGCTTTTCTACAATGACTGCAGGGGAATGAGGTGGGGAAATTGGATGTACTTATCTCCCTCTCTGATCAGCCAGTGGGCAGAAGAGAGTAGAGAAAGGAAAGAGGTTGGAAGGTGCACATAATCACCACTGATGAGCGGCTGAGCAATTGTCTGGCTTTAGCTCTAATACAGAAAAGGGGCTACCAAGCCTTTGTGTCTTCTGCACAATAGTACAGAAGCTCCTTCATTAACATTTTCTATCAAGATTGCTTTGGCAGCAGGTTACGACACCTTGCTTTTAAACATTTAAGGCTGTGTGACATCCAGTAGTAAATGTAATGCTTCAGAACTTTGAGAATAAGTTCATGAAAAAAACTTCACCTCAATATATTGCTCCTTGCCTCCCCATTTTCTACTTATTATATTACAGAGAACCAATAAAAAGCAATACACACAAAATGCCTATGAAAATCAGCTGAAGTATCCAGCTGATTCAGTAAAGCAATTACTGAATGCATAATAATGCATAGTTTTAAAACTATGAAATGAACTGGTTTCAGTAACTGTTTTAAAACCAGTACTTTATAGGTTCAGTGTCCTTTTTCTGTTTTCAAAATCAAAGCAGAGCACAGGTACATGAGAGTCAACATTTTCCATCAAAGTGAATGGGTGTTGTTCATTTGGTTTGCTGTAGTCCAAGAGAAATTTTGCTTTAGATAATGACCTGAACATGGGTACAGAAAAATGCTTTTCATCCATAACTCTGCATGGTGCAAACCACACACCAGTCATAAATGCAAGAGCATGTCCAGAAAGTGAGACCAGTTTGAAAATGAATAATTATCTAATTGTTTAAGCACCAGCATCCTATTTGAAGTTATGATCCACAAATATGTGTAGATAATAATTTAGAGGACCATAATTTGCCACTGAGCCTTTAAAAAATGAAAAAAAAAATCCTCTACTTCACTACTCTGCAGATGTTGAGGTTTGACCAAGATGGTTAAGGGCATGCTCCCCATTACTTCTATAAAAGCCACAATGCTTGAAATGTGGTGGTAGAAGTCCCAGCATCTTTGCTAGGTCCAGTGGCACCAAGCAAATCTAAACCCTGTTTGATCTTCATCAGTACCATGAAAGAGAGCACAGGTCTGTGGATATGAGAGAGATCCAGAAAAGAATCTGGAACTTTAAAGCCTTGACACTCAGAATTAAGCTGGAATGATATGTGCACTTACTAGAAGGTAACTCCCATTGAATTCAGTAGAAGTTACTTTTGGATGAATATGCAGAAGATCAGACTGTTGGAGATAATCCATTATAAGAATTAACCCAAGTTTAATATTCACATGCCCAGAGAAGCCTGTGGCTCTGAGCCAATGTAGGTTCTGCATTACTACAAGTTCCATTTAGGTTTATTTATTGTTATTTCATGGACGTTTTCTACTAATGAACCATCACTTTCATTTCTGCCCATAATAATTACACAATTACCTATCATAGAAGTATTTAGTAATAACATTCTTGGCCATAAATTTGACATTCTCTCTCTTTAAATACTATCATAATTCACTTTTAATGAAAACTTGAATCTCTTTTTGGCATGCGAAAGAAAATGGACTTCAGTGAAAGTAGAAAGCGAGGCAACTTTTTAAAGAATAAATGTTCCCTCCTCCTGTCTCTGTGGTTAATGCAATTTATTGTGTAATCCAGATATACAATGACTCCCTAGATTTGATTAATTGTGGGTGTTAGCATGGACTTTAACAGAGCATATTTTCCTAGGAAGCACATAGAAAACTATGACAACATAGTCAAAATCCATTGCGTTTTGAAGTGGGATGTCTAGTCCCTTGGATGTATTAAGGTGTGAGGTGAACAGTGAGAAGGAAAATACTACTGCTAGTCTGTGCATAATAGCAACATAGACGTGGCAGAAATGAATGTCAATTCAGACAATGTTCCAAATAAAGGTTTGGCAGATTGGAGATGAGTCACAGGCTGCTCCATCTTCATATAGTTATGTCTGTTATTTGAACAAAATTATGTAGTGATTAGAGAAGAAATTGACATTGGCTGTTTAAGGATTTCATTTAAATTACTCAGGATTCGTTTGCTAAATTTGGTTAAAGATGCAGAGGAAAATGACAAAGATGTAGTATAATGTAACATCTCTTTTTCACACTGGATTGCTCTAGAGAAATAATGCCTGTTCTAGATAAATAATGCCTTCAGTGAGTTGTTTTGTTCTTCTTGGTCTTGAGCAGTCCTACACTGGGGTTCTGTATCTTTAAGGCCAGTCTCTGGAATCATCTGCACCTCTAGGCTAAGATCTGACAATCTGCGTGGGAGTGTACCCGGTCATTCAATCTGTAACCCGTATCTGGGGAGAAAACATCATAGCTTTGGATTCCACTTGATTCCCATAGCCCAATGTGAAGGGGTGCATCCTCCCCGTGCCCCAGATCTCGTCACATTGGCGTTATGAAGGGAGTGTAATTGTGGGTACATCTACAGGATGTTCTGCTCATTGGGAAAGCTGGTGTGCAAAGATACAGTAACTTTGTGTGGCTTCTACCACCTTATATGCATGCAGTTTAGTTTGCAAGCAGAGATCGTGGCACATGTCTTACCAGTGAGCTTTTACAAATAATAACCTTTTGCTGAGGGACCTTTTTATGGACTCTACATTTGCCATGGGCACCATCTTTAGAATTAATAATCTCTTGCACTTTCTAGCTTGAGCCCAATTGACCTTGCTTATTATTATTTCAAATGCCAGCAGTTCTTCCAGACTCAGCTAAGCCTAGCTGCCCAGTGACAATTTGCAAGTGGTGTGATTAGATTTTGTACTATTTCTACCTTTTTATGCTATTTGGCTCCTGAGAAATTACTACTATTTCTTACTCCTCCTATGCAGTATCTTTTCACAAACAAGGAAGGACCTTAAAATCTATTTGGCTTTTTACTCTGTACCCCAGTTGTCCCTTTAAAACTGTTTCACCAGACAACCTGTGCTCTATGGCCTATTTGCTCCTCTAATGTAAGTGCATAATCCCCCTTGACTACCATATCCCTGTGCAATTTGCCATGCTTTCCTCCTTCCCTGCAGTGCACATAGAGCCTGGCACATGTGAAGTCATTGCTGCCCACAGATGCTGCAATAAGAACAAGATCGAAGAGCGCTCGCAAACAGTGAAATGTTCCTGCTTTCCAGGTCAGGTGGCTGGGACTACACGGGCTGCTCCTTCATGTGTAGATGGTAAGTACACAGGACCCTGTGAAGTCAGCATTTGGATTTGGGAATGGCTGATGAATGGGTGAAAAGATACACTCATAGCTCAGGAGCGCCTAATCCTGAAGGGTGTGCCTGTTGGACCTAAAGCCCTGTAGTTTAAGTGAAGTCACCCATAGTGTAAATCCATAATAATCCTTAAAAGAGATAAACCAATAGGCACTTGTCACACTGGAACTGGGCCTTAGATCAGACCCAGAAAGAACACTTTAGTATTTGTGACTTGAGGATCACCTCCATTTTCACATGGATGTGCATGATGGGGAGACAGACTCTTTAGTTTCTGATCTTCCAGAAAATGAACCTGGCAACACCTTGCTATTGCTGTGAAGGGAATCACTTTTGTGCAGGAATACACCAACTGGCATTCTTGAGCCAGTCTCAGCACCTTTGTCAATAGAGCAGTGAGGTATGGGTGGCATTGCTATGATTCCACAGCCATAATCATTCATCCCAAATGGTATGTTATCACTGCTCCTCATTCAAAGGTAAACCGGTAGAGTAGATTGACTGGTTAAACTTTCAGACAGTGATTTTCCTTTCTACCAGGCAAAGCAGGATTGATGAGGCTAGAGAATGCAACTATTATAGTTCAACTCCAGCACCTATTATATGAAGAAGATGTGTTGTAGAAGGAATCTTTCCATGATATTTCAAATCTTGCACTTTTGTGGCTCCTAAAGCAGCACAATCAGTTACTCTGAAAGGTATCTGTTGGTTTTTAAAACTTTACTTTGAAATGAATGGCTTCTGGGTTGAAACCATAACTTCTTGATGTACCTGATTTTGGATTCTGAAGCTGATACTGAATGTCCGTGTAGGAATGCTTCCATCTTAATTCAGAATGGGATTCACTTTACGGGATTTTGTCTCCTCTTTTCTCATGACATGGCCCATTATAACCAAGGCTGCTTGGCCCGGAAGGCCTACCATTGATTTTTAACTTTGGAAAACCTGTTACTGCAATGTAGATGCAGAACACATGAATAAAACCATGCTGTCTAATCACCTGTGCAGAGCACTAAAAATGCAGCCCATCTATATTTTATTGAGCAGTGTCATTCTGGATCTATCTGAAGTGGCTAGAAGCCTCTGCTGGTGCATTATTGATTGGCTTGGCAGTTTGGCTGGTGCAAATGGATTTGTACATGATGCCAAGAAACTACTTACAAAACACAGGATACAATTCCCATGAAAGCTTGCATCCCCAAGCAGCTTCCTAACATGCTTCCTTTTCTGTGTACAAAGCATTTCCCCTAAAATTATCCACTGGAATTTCATTGAAATTATACTGCAGGTATGAGTTGCAAACCAGACATAAAGTTCTTTCAGACACTCAACCTACCTCAGCAAATAAAGTGCAAAGAGAGCAGAAAAGAGATTGCCAAGGTTTCTGATATAATATAATGTGTGATATGGCTATTGTTTTCCCATGACATCATTCTTCAAAGTTTTGATCAAGCTGTTGTGATTTCATGGAATGGTCAGAAACAGTCTAATTTCTCAGGAGAAAGTTGTCCAAAATCAACAGGTACTAGGAATAACATGGGACACAGCTTGGGTGAAAGGAACTTCTCCTACAGAATATAGATCAGCCAAGAAATGTGATGTGCAGAGAGGAAGTGTTGTAAATGAAGCAGCCCTTAGCACCCTAAGAGCCTGGCATCTCTGCATTTGTTCTTGATTTCTGTTATTAGTATACAGCAAAGAGTAAACACATGGAGAGATGTTCTACATTCCACAAAACAGACATGTGTGATGACCATACATGTTGGTGTATTTTTTATTTATTTATTTATTTTTCGATTTATATCCTGCCTTTTTCCTCAAAGGACTCAAGGCAGCTTACATCATTCTCCTCCTCCATCTTATCCCCACAACAACAACCCTGTGAGGTAGCTTGGGCTGAGAGTCTGTGACTGGCCCAAAGTCACCCACTTGGCTCCATGGCCGAGTGGGGACTCGAACCCAGATCGTCTGAGTCCCAGTCCCACGCTCTTAACCACTACACCACACTGGCTCTCCTGTCCATCCCAAAATAAAATAATAAAACAAAATGAAATGAAACAAAATGAAGAAGACTCAGATGAAGGAAAGTAATAGAACAGTCAGTTCACAGGCAGAATGGTTGAAGGATGTGTGCTAAGCCAAAAAGCAGAGACCTGAAAGGCAAAGATGGCTGGAGGAGAAAGTACAGAAGGTCAAAAATTGGAGTGGGGAAAAACCTCAGAGGATAACTGTGTGTTCTCAGGAGGAAGGGATACACAGACAACTAAGGTTTGACAATCAGAGCCCAGGGGCAGAAGGAGCCGAATCTGGACTTGAGCCACCTAGCCTAGCTTCTCCCAACAAGGTTCCTTCCCAATGTGTTGGCCTGCAACTTTCAGCATCGCCCAGCCTGTCATAGTAGACGTAGCCCAACAGAGCTGGGGAGGGCACCAGGTTAGGGAAGACTAATCTAGCCAGATCCTTGGCTCCAGAAATTCACTTGTCAATAAATTGCAACCTTTCTTCTTTCCACATGCTGCCTCAGCTAAATGGCCTCTTCGCTGATTTGAAATGCTTCCATTAATTAGTAGCTTCTCCTCAAAGTAACCTGGCAGGCTGCGTGAGGATAGTGATTCTGCCATGTTACTAATGATTGCCCTGGTTCTGTCGTATTTTTAAAAATCAGTATTTGGATTAAAAGGAGGCTTCCTCTGAGGGGACAGACATGCTTACTGTTGTCAAAAGAATCCTTTGCCTGTTTGGGAGGGGAGGTTCTTAGATCCTCATTTCTTCACAGAAAAACATCCTATATTATTAGTAGACTTGCCACAACAAAAAGGATTGCATTAACTATTAATTGCAGGGTGTGTGCTTTGTTAACAACATCATCATCATCAACAACAACATAAGTTAGAAAGCTCCTCTCACCCCTCTTCCAGAAATATCATATAATTCCTCACCCATCTGAAGTAAGGCAGGTGATGGCCAGAAACAGTGCCTTTTCAGTTCTGGAACTCCATTTTTGCAGTTGCCTTACCAGAAGGTCTGATGCCATCTTTATTTTATTGGCATCAGGTAAAGCTGTTTTATTTGCCCATAATCCCCCCCCCCAAAGTTTTTGGATTTTTAAAAAAAACTTTTTGCTGTGAGTTTGTTTTGATTGATATTTATACAATTACTTTATAAAAGGATGCCCATACACTTAGATTATCTGATAAAACATGTATTAACAAAAAGCAAATACATTAAAGATGATTATAAAAAGATGGCACAATGGTATTTGTTACCACAATACAGTGTAGACTTTCAGGGATTCATTTATTTATTTAATGCTTTTATATGCCACCCTTCACAATGTCTCTGGGCGGTAATACAATAAAATAAATAAATAAAATATAGCATCCAAATTGTAGTAGATAAAATCCAGTCTTAAAAACACTACTACTAACAATACACAGGGATGGCTGGACATGGAATGTCTGAGAACATTAAGAGACTCCAAAATCTTCCTTAGGAAGAATTCATTTCTTCTCATTTCACCTTAATTGTGTTCCCTAAGGGAAGCATCTCCCCCATACCCATTGATTGGGAAAAAATTCCCAATTGAAAAAAGATACATTTTTCTTTGTTTAGCAAATGTGGGAGTTCAATATATTAAAATTTACCTAACTTTGGCTTAACCAACTTTAGGGAGGTTATTAATGAAAGGCTTCGAATCTTAAATAGAAACCAACTAAAATAATGGGAATGCTTGTAACCTGCTGAATTAGATTGTGGACATCCTATGGGGAACAGGAGGAGCATGCAAACACCCTTTGTCTCTGCACTCTTCTTACTTTACAAAGCAATTCAGTGGCCAATGTTGGCAATCTAACTGTGCTGCTTTGCAGGGGGACAGGGAAGGGGAGGGAACGAGGTGCCACCAGCATACACCATATTTTTGCAGCACTGGACTTCTCTTCCTACCCCTTCTTCAGAGTTGCTTTTATGATCTTGCACAAGCAACCAGTGTGGTTCTTTCTATGCCAGCTTTCTATGCCACTTATAGACAATACTGAGAAGAAGAGATTGAAATGTTGGTTCTAATTGTAAATGCATAATATCAGAACTGGAGAGATTATTGGTTAGTTCTTAAACTATGTTATGTTAAAAGAAACCTGGATCAAGCTATTCTTTATGAATTTCGCTTGCTAATAAACCATAGTTTGAACTAAGCAGTGTTCCCTGTGTTTAGACTTAATGAGAGACTCTGGAAGGGAAAGTGCTGGAAATCAGAAGAAACCGGAGAGTGAAGCTCAGTGCTCACCATGCATATAACACTAAGCACTGGTCTTTGCATTATGTCTGAACCAGACCAATCTCTTTTGCATCCCTCATTGTTTTGTTCTTGGCCTTTGCATTGCAGCGGTGTTTCTGGGGATGTAAATGAGTTGACAGACAGGCTGAGTGAAATCTAGATGTGCGGCCATGGTGTCCAGCAGTGCAAGTGGAAGTCAGGCTGAGTTTCTTTACCTGGCATTTTGGCTTCTGTTTCATTCCCAAGGCTAGAAAATCTGAGGATTTTGGGTGCACAAACCACAAGAAAAAGCAGGCATCCTTGTGATTAAATTAGCTCCCCCTCCCCAGTACTGCAAGGCACAAAATCTCTAATTTCAATTAGCCCCCCAAGGATGCTTGTTCTGGTCAGTTGTCATTAACATGTCTTTAGTCTTTGAAGCTGTCACACACCAGGAAAGGCTAGATGCTGCAAGACATCTCCTCCAACAAATTCTGCCATTCAATCTTCATTCCTCCCTTATTAGTGGAACACTGGTGGTGTTCCATTGTGTTTCTTCCCCTCTGGTCTTGGAAGGATTTGACTGATGATCCTTCCAACTTTGATCATGTTATGCTCAACTTTGAGTTCCCACAGAGATAAGCTTTCATATGGGCTTTTCTGTCAGATTACTCTGGTGTCCCACTACAGGATGGTGCAGTTGATAGTTCCACACTCTGTAGAAAAATAACTGTTAAAATCAGTTTCGGGGCTGCTCTGTCAGATTCCAGCACTACATCCTCAGGGAGTGGGAGATGTGATAATGGTTTTTTGGGGGGGAAATCACATTGCTTTCTGTTCTCAGTTTGCTGCAGTATTGAGACTTGATGCAACATAGATATTGCTTCCCTCCCCCCCCCACAAAAAAAAGAGTGCCATAGAATTGTCAGAAATGTAATCTGATTTTAGAAAGACCAAAGCTAATTCCAGCCTACTGAGTTTAGCTGCCTATCCATCTGGTCATTTATTATTTCTAGCACATGTTTAAGTGTTCAGTATTTGCAGTTTTTATCTCTTTTGTCCTTTCACTAGTCCTGTAAATTAGATTATGCTTTACACATAGAGACATAGACACAGAGCGAGTCAGAAGGGCCCCCCCTGGGCCTTCTAGTTTGACCCCGGCTCCAGCTGGCTCTGCTCGCGACATGCCTACCATGTGCATGTCTAGCCTATTCTTGAACACCCTCACTGATGGCGCTTCAACCACCTCCCATGGAAGCCCATTCTATACCTTGGAGTCCTAACTGTCACGAAGTACTTCCTGGCATCCAAATTGAACCTTGGTTCCTTGAGCTTGGCTCCACTGGAGCACGTCCTGCCTTCCTCTGCTTGCTACTCTCTGTGTTGGGAAAAAGCATGAAACCCACAAGTGGTTCATCATGTAGTTATTATGCATGCAGTCAGATTCATACATTATGAAGCTGTAATGCATGGCTTCCCAGTGCATGTATTTCATGTGCATAGACTTGAATGCGATTGTCCTGCAACTGCATGGATTCCATGGGGAGTGTTCAGGTCTACATTAACATAAACATAAGCTACATTGTGCACACACACACACACACACACACACACAGTCTTTAGTTCAATAAAAACATTGCTACTTGGCATAATGCATTTTCTGGAGAAACCCATAAGATCATCCATTGCTGCTGGCATTGCACTGGCGATCATTTTTTGCTAGCACAACATGATTTGCATTAGCAGTAGTGTCAACTTGGATATAGCTCCATGCATTTTTCTGCAAGGAAAACACTGAAGGGAAGCTTTCCTGAGAGATAGCTTATCCAAAACTCCTTAGTGGTCTTAATGGTTAATTGACAATTTACATCTGAACCTTCCTAGCCCAAATGCAATATTCCAACTGAAAACACTGTCTTCAGATGAAATGGGTGTTGGGTATTCTGACAGGGGCTTTCTTTTGCTTGCAACTTCTTGCTGGTAAAAGGATACACATGTACGTATATATTTTGGCCCTTGCAAATACTTACTTGGTGGTATACATATAACTGGAGGAGGAAATCATAGTGCCCTTGTGAATACTCTGAACTGAAAGAAAAATGAACAAGTAGATCCTAGATCAGCTCAATTCAGAGCTTTTCCTAGAAACATGTGGTTTTCATACTTTGAGCACATCGTGAGAAGGCAAGACCCGCTGGAGAAGAAATTCCTGCTAGGGAAAGTCAAAGGCAGAAGAAGAAAAGGAAGACCAAGTATGAGATGTTTTGAATCCATTAGAGAAGCTACAAATTTGAATCTGGAAGAGCTGACCAGGTCTGTCATGGATAGGACATTTTGGAGGGCTTTCATTCATAGGACAGCCATAAGTTGGAGAGGACCTGATGGTACATAACATATATATGCAAACCTCAGAGAGTGAGAAGGAGGAAGGATGGAAGGAGGAAGGTATACCTTGTGGTAAGGTAGGAATAAAAATCAAGTATCACTTATGAGTAAGAGCTAAATACTGAGCTTATGATGTAGTACAGCTGGGATGTAGGCAAGGCATGATCATTGAAAAGACATGTAGGGTTCCCAGGAGAGGTCTCTTAAGCTTCCTTATTCTATAGTTTTGTGCTGACGGTCTTCTAACAGTATCAGTGAAATGTAGTCACAGGAGACTGTGAATTTAAACAGTGGAACATTGAGAAATGGACTAGCTGAACCCTTTTCTCTCTGACCATTTTTTCTGACTCAAGTTTCTGCTTTTCCACCTAGAATGTCCTGGGTTCAGATCCTGACATCTTCAGTTTAAAAGATTTCCATGTGGGTAGAAAAATAATGTTGGGGAAAGGTAGTTTGGAGTAGAAGAATGACTAATCACCTCTGCCCTGCCATTCAGTCTGCTCGATCTCATAGCCCTCCACAGCATTTCTTGTGAAAATTGTCTTGAAAGTTACATTTGTCTTCAATATCTGGTTTGGCTCTCAGGCACCAGTTCAAAAACATACAATGGTTTTCTGAATGACATTAGGATTTCATGTTCAAACCCTTTTCACCATTTTTCTATGAATGTGCAGCAGCAGACTTATTAATTAGAACAATTGGTTGACTTTTATTAAAAATTAGGTACCTGTATAAGCAAGCATGAGTACTGTTGCAGAAAAAGTCACTCTGAACTTTAAAAACAAATAAATCACATTCTTAGGAAACTCGTTCCAATTTTTCTTGCTCATGGTTTATAGAGAATCATCACCATATTTCACATCTTTTGAGCTTTGGGACATTTCTCCATATGGAGTCTTGGGGAATGGGCATCTCTGTGGTTCAGTGAAAACAAGTGTAAAGTGGCACATGTGCATGGTGCTGATTGTGTCTGAACTGGTGTCAGCTGATCAGAATAGGGATCCTGGTGTTGTAGTGGATAGCTCAATGACAACACTAGCCCAGAGTTTTGTTGCTGCAAAGAAAAGTGAAATCCACATTGGGAAACATTAGATAAGGGATCCAAAATAAAACTGCCAATTTCCTAATGCCTTTCTATAAATATATGGTGCCACCGCTCCTGGATTACGATGTACAGTTTTGGTCGCTGCATCTCAGAAAGGGTATTTGTATATCTGGAAAAGGTGCAGAAAGGTGCTACCCTTTCCATGTTTCACATCATGTGGAAGGTTGGAATCAAAACTAATGAAAAGCTGTGCTGGAACCAACCAAGGGTCCTTCCAGTCCAGCATTCTTTTCACACAGTGATTAGCCAGCTGTCCACAGGAAATCCACAGTGCCTTCCTGCCCATGTTGCCAGCAACTGCGATCCTGCTACAGTTACTGGAAGTGGCAGATAGTGTTCATGACTAGTAGCCTTATTAAACCTTGTCCTCAACAATGCCCTAGGCATGCACAGCTCTATGCTTTATGGTTTCAGCAACCCTAGGCAATTAGTGTCTAGTTGCATAGCAACACTGAGACAAAACCACCTGTAGGGTAATAGAGAACAAGGCGCATCAGGAACAGAAATAGTGGGCTCTGTTGCACTTCACTGAACATGTTAGCAATACGTTTGCCTACACCAGGCATGTTGAACTTCTTCCAACCCAAATTCCATTTTGAAGGTGTGCTTGTGGGCCATATTCCCAGTGTACATTTTCGCTTAAAGCTATTACTGCCAGTAACTAAGCTCTAGGGGAGGATTTCCCCAAACCAGGAAGCTACCAAATGATCAGTAGTTGGAGGGAAAGGGTGGGAGGTCAGGGAAATGGGGCGTAGTAGACCAGAGTTGGCCACCAGGCTTGAGGTTCAGCCTGCTCATTCTGTGCAGTCCTTGTGCTCTTTTGAGTTCAATAATAGGGAACTGAACCCCCATGTTGCACTAATCTGGAGCTTAGCTAGTAAAGTGTAAGTCTGGATCTGTGTTTATGTCATTGTTCTGCCACTGACAAAACAGTCTAAATTACTCTGGGACTATAGAAAATGGATAATTTGTTTCAGTGGCTACATATACTTCCACCAAAGGAATAAAGAACTGTAGTGTTTAGAACTGTAATCATCTGTCTGATTACTTTTAAAAATATAATATACTGTCTTTGTCCCCCTAGCTTCAATTGTGCTTCAGAAGTGGTGGTGCCAAATGCAGCCATGTCTAGAAGGCGAAGAATGTAAGGTGCTACCAGATTTGTCTGGATGGAGCTGCAGTACTGGAAACAAAGTGAAGACAACCAAGGTATTTCTTAACTGGTTTCTGTTGGAAGGGATGCTGATCCAAGGTGAGTGAGAAGAGGCTGAGTCAGACAGTCTCTTATTACTTACCAAGAGATAATTTTGTCACTCTCTTGATGAGATCCACATAATGGCAAACCTGGTGAATGGGGATTGCAAAGTATTAGGTTCATTGATCACTTAATGCCTATCAGGGCCAAGAAAAGCAAACTTTAATGACATATGGTAGCTCAAGAACTCTGTTATGTGTCTAAAGCATTTGCAAAACCACCCATAGGAATATGAAAAGAAAGTGATTACAAAAATCACTTTGTGAGGTAAAGTGAAAGCAGTTGCTTATATCTACTGGAAGCAAATCAAGCAAAGGTTGAAGCTTTGCCTGATAAAAATCTCAATGTGACTTGAAATAGTGTAGGCAAACCTGACATTAGGGGATAACTTGACTTTTTGTGTCTAGTTTTTGTTGTTAGGCAGCTGCTTTAGCTCCTACCTAAGAAGGATTGCTGTGGCAGGAGGTATGGCAAGAGAATAACAGAAGAAGCTGTTTGCCAGGAGAGCAGGAGAGCTCCACTTCTGATGAAGGGGCAGATACTTTGAGAGAACATAAAGTCACTTTGGAGGTGACAGACATTTTGAATGAAGTTATATGGAGGAGGAGAAGCACAAGGTACTTCCTGTTCTCTGCAGGCACATACAGATTGCCATCATGTTGGAAGCTATTCTGGGAAACCTTACAGACTGCCACGTGTGCCTAAGTGCAGGCTGACTTTTCTCCTCCTCCACCTCCTCCCATGATTGAAATATGTGACTGGGCTAATTAATCTCAGCTTATAGTCATACAAGACTCTTCTGAACAAAACCATTTTTATTCAACACGAGAAATTATCCCTCAAGTGGGATTTGTTGTATTGTGTGTGTTCAGGGTTCCGGGCAGCTAATCACCCTTGCCCACTTCCAGGAGAATCAGGTACATTTCTTCCCTGATTTTCTGAGTGCTGCAGTCTTAACACTCTGCATCTTGTGGCCACTGATGTTCAGTCCTCATATGGCTATATGGATTCAAGCCCCCCCCCCCACCTTTTCTAAAGGCAATTTGTTCACACTGTGGGGTCCCCAGACTTGCTAATAAAACCCCTTGTTTGCCAGTGGCCCATTGTGGCTCAGTCCTGTCTGTACTCACCAGCTGAGGCCATTGTCAGAAGAAGTGTTTTGAAGATGCATCTCTCATCAGATTCTGCATAGTAATAAAAAGAAAGAAAATCTAGAGATAGGGAGCAAATTGAGGGAAAGTGTACTTTTTAAAAGCCTGAATGTCAGCATTCATTTCCCAAGAAGAGCTAAATACCACTTTCCTCAAAAATGGAAAACAATTATTTTTATCCACTGTAGATAACTTCATTCAGGCATTTTTACCAAAGTTATCCCATATATTCTGCCAAGCATTGAAGAGCAGGATGACAAAATAAGAAGTGACAAGTATAGTGCTGATAATAAAATGTCAGTTGCCTCGTCAAAGTGCTCATGATCCAGTAGATGGAAATGGATTTGTAGCCTTCTCTTCTAATGAGTGTTTAGCAGAAGCATCTCTTGCCAGAGCAGTAATGTGTAGATGAAGTTCATCTCAATATCCCAATGAAATTAATAGTGGGGGGCACTGCCTCCGTAAGACTTCTGCCAGCCACTGCCTGTTGCGGCAGGTTTCCTATTCTTTGCATCACAAGCCAGCCACAGACTTTCCAGCCTGTCATGGCTCCTCAGTTGGAGCAATCATCTGTGACAGAGAGCTACATGATTATTATTTTCATGGCTTGCTGAATACCCTGAAGAACAAGGTATAATTAAAATTTTATCAAACTCATTAGTAATTACATGTATGTCATGGTTAATCAGTTGCATAATTTTGTAATCATTGTTCATACAGTGGAGCATAATTATTCTTCGGGCTTTGCTTGCTTCGTGCTTCCGTCTCCTTTCCCCACTAACACCCATAAAAATTATCCTGTAAAATAGCAATGCCTCGTTTCTTCCTTATCTTTTACTCTGCAAATAGCATGTTCACATCAAACTGCCTTAAAAATGAATATCAGAGCAGCCTCCGTTGACTCAGACATCAAAGTCCTCCTGCCTAATCGTACTGCCTTCACACCACCAGCCATGTTTTGTTTGTTGCCCCTTTCATTTTGCTTTCCCTCTATTTGTTGTTGGCACCGTTGTCTTTTGATGCCGCTCACCACCTTGCTGTGGGCTCTTGCGGCGCTGAGCACTTGGCAGCAACCACTCTGGCCTACCGCCACACTCACATTCTAGCCCAGGTCCTCCAACAGGAAATGATGCACTTCTTCATGGCACATTTTCTAAAGTAGCCTTGATCTGCCTCTCAGTATGAACTGTGCACACTTCAAAGGCATATTGCAGCCACTAGAAACTATGGGCCATGGCCCAGTCTTTATTCACTGGGTCAGCCACGGCAGCCTGTACACCAGTGTAGATGGAAGGTTTTCAGGCACGGGCTTTTGCTGAACAGAAATGCTGGAAGCTGAAGGAACGACAGAGAGGTAGATGCTGTTGCTATTGCTGTAGAGAGGCAAGGCAGGGCTAAGTAATGAGCAAGCTGAGGATGACAGATGAAGTCTCCACCTAGGGTTTGATGTGATCTGCTGTGACAAGGGAGAGAATCAGTCATCACAAAGGGGCTGGGACTGCTCAGCTGTTCCTGTTGATACTCCTGACACTTTCAATAATTTGTGAGAGCTACTCTCCAGGTTATTTTTAAAAGGCACAAGTACTTTTGTGAGCTCTAACACAAACAGATGGTGTGGAAAAAGAAAGGAACATCCCTAATTCCATAAGAATATGTGCCTTTGGATATCACAGAATGCAACTCTTTCCAAATAATGGATGGGAAGATTAGCTCTTCTACCTCACTGTATCTCTACGTCCACCCGCAGTTTCAAAGAGCAACATGAGTTTTATAAGTTGCTTTTCCTCATCTGGTCATCCCAATTTCTGCATTAATGCGAATGGCTCTGTTTGTTCTGTCCTCTCTGAAGCCTCGGTTATAACTGCTGCAGTATTACTAGCTGGGCAGTTTAAATAATAAGCGTATCTTCTCTCCTTGGCTGTGGGTCTCCGCTGAGTACAAATTGAGCTCCTTTTTTCCTCCAATGCTCTCAGCTTGATCTCTCTGCCATTTTGCAATGGATTTGCTAAATTGTTCCTGCCTCAATGTGTCTCTTGTTTGGCATGCACACAAGGCCAGGGATAGAATTTAAATAGCAATATTTCAAATGCATCCACAGTTCTGATGGCTGCCTTGACAGAAATCACTAGTCCTACTGTGAAATCCATAAGAAAGGATATTATAATGGGTAAATAGGGTATGGAATGTCTGAAAACTCTAAAATCATCCACAGTTATCAGAATAACCTAACATTTCAAAGGCTGAAACATGATTTTCAGGCTGCTACTTAGGGAGAATTTGTTTAGCTTATTTACACTGTACACAGGGCATATGAATCAAAGAGGGGTAGAACAGTAGGCTTCATATAAATCCTTACCTGCACACCAAAAGGACCTTTCCTTTGTTCCCCTGCTCATAGCTTTTTTTAACTCTGTGTGTGTGTGTGTGAGTAAAATGTGTATACATTTGCTTTAAAATCTTATTCATACACTTGCTTTTCTTTCCAGACAGAATAAAGTAAATGTAGCAAAGCTAGATGAATTTTACATTAAAATACCTTGCACTTCAGCTGCTAAAAAGGTAACTTATGGTAATCTTGGAGAAGTCAAGAAGTGCTTGAGAGTAATACAATTTTTAGAAATGTTAATATTTTAGCATTTCAGAATAGAGTTTCAGATGCCAAATAAACGGATGCCAACTCTCCCTCTTTTGCTATTTGCTGTTGCTTTTGAATCTTGGGTATGTAGTGAGCACTTTACATTTACGAGGTATCTTCCATTGCCTCTTTTTGTGAATATGCATGCATGTCTTGGTATAAAGCAACATCCATGCACAGAATTGTAGTATTCTGAACAGTCCTCGTACCAAGGCCATGTTCACATAGTGGATGAAGGATCCTTTCTTAAGGGAGGTGATTGCCTCTGGATGTTTCTGGTTGCCTTCCATTCTATGGCATGCTGCTGTGGGGCTGAACTTGTCAAATCCCACTCTCAATAATATTTTTCTGGGCTTTTTAATTGATCCTGCACTGGATTTTCACTGGATATTACAAATTAAAGGTACTGGATGCTATCCTATGGCATGGAAATACATCAGTCTCATGAAATGTTCATCAAATATGTGATGTCAGGTGTGCATTTGATGCCTCTATTACTGTAGGCATTTTCTGGAAACGTTCATGCTACAATCATGTTTACCTTTCACGTTTATGAAAGGAGCCGCAGTGTTGGACCACCCCACACTGGAACATACTTGAGGCTTTGGATCGGAAATTCTTCTATAGGTCTGGCAAAGGTCTGTCTGATGCATTCTCTTTTATTCACAGGTTACAAGGTAGACTTTGGAAGACCTACTCTTATCAGATATGATCTGCATTGACACGGTCAGCTTCGCAAAAATGGCACAACGTAGCCTTGGTTCCAGTGCAAGATACTCCCTTAATGCTCTTCAGAGCTGGGAACAGGGGAACTTCCTTGGCAAAGGATAGAATGCAATTGTGGCACAGGATGGCTATTTTTATGGGCACTTTATTTTTCTTTCTCAAGTACAGCTGCCAAGGGGGTGGTGCCACAGTCTGCTCCCTCATGGTAGAAGAGCACCGAGGATTACAGAAAGGGTTAACATACCTGTCTGGGCAGAGATCGTGGAAAAATTCCTTTGCTTTTGAAGTATTGCATCAACTACTGATTCAGTGCAGCCTCTAAGGTATATAACCATCAATTGCTACTAAGTCTATGGTTATGGGTCTTGAATGCGGTTACAAGAACTTCCTTCTCCACATTTTCCTTCCATATTGTGGATGTACCTGCAAGAAAAATGCATTTCTTCCCCTCCTGCTCAGTTAAATATTGGAATTACTTAGAATCTCGTGATGGCTACAAAGAAAAAAAAGCAGCTTTCTTTCCTTCCTTTTAATTCTCCTGTGCCTGTAGGCTGGTTATGATGATTGCTAAGAGAATCAAGGTGTTGAGTGGGTGTTGCATTCACAGTTTAAAATAAAATTGGTGTTTTTACAAAATCTTCCCAGTTTACGTTTTGTTGCCTTCACAGCAGAAAGGCTCTGAGTAAGGGTTCTAGAAGCAAAGAACCAAATTCTGATCTTGAGCTGTGTAAAACTAGAGGAACTCTGAGGAAGACCAGACTGTTGCTCCAAAATTTTATCTAGGTACCAACTTCAGATTTTTTTTCTTAGAGTATGGAAGATTGACAGTATTGATAGCAGTTCATTAGCACCATGTTGGAAACACAAGAGATGAGAAGAAATATAGAGAATTCTGTTTGCTTTCCACAAGGATTGAGAAATAGTCTCTCCTGGTCTTTCTCCTTCTCTCCTGTTCTGACATTACTATGATCAGGTTTATATTCTCATGTCTTCTGTTCCTTTGAAGTCACAAGGATAAATTACTGTCAAACGTCCATTGAAAATATTATGAAGAGTGGTGTCCTCTTTTTCTTTGCTATGTTGTGTCTGGTATGGTCTGAATTTTACTAGGAGTACTGTGACAGCTTAGTTACATATAGTATTAAATAAAGATTTGTACCTGGCAGCTGTAATGAGTGCAGATCCCTCTCAGGGACCAAAGTATTGATCTTAATAACCTGTTCCTCAAGACTAGAAGAGATTATAAGAACTATGTTACAGTTCTCAGCTTATGATTTCATTGCTTTTTCTTCTGAGGTGAAATGTGGGGAAGGGCACATTCACTGTGCTTCCATGGGTTAGGATACAGGTTTAGGAAGGCATTTCTCCAAGGAGAATAGAATCAGCAGACATGAAGAAATGACATAGCTATGGTAAATGCATCTTGAACATTGATGTGCAGGAAACGTGGCACCCAGTGTAGAAATGTATATTCAGACCCTATTTAGCATTTCATGGCAGTTGGGAACATCAGCATTTCTGATGAAGGGACAGGCATTCTTTGGCATGAGTCATTGAGGACTGTTTTCCACTCCCCCATAATTAACATCTGTAAACACGGTCCATATCTGTGTCTTCTTATGGCTACCTTGATTCATGAAGGTCTGGTTTTTTTTTTTAACTTTGGGGTGGGGTTGGGAATGATTGCATACCTTGCAAAGTATAACCCAAAGTAAACATCTAATTTTATCCAAAAAGAGACGGATTTTAGGAGTACCCAGAGAGAATGGAGTGGGCAAACAGCTGCGCCTTCAGAACTCTGCCCTGACCTATCTGTTCCACAGTGGTCTGGCCTCCACGCTGTGACTGTACGGCCTGCTGACTTTGTTATCTAAACGTTTTTTGTAACCAACTATGTTATACCTGCTTCGGATGCGATGTAAATACCAGACTGTGAAATATTAAAGTTCGTTTTAATCTCTGCAAGATGATCTGTTCTTTTAAATAAGACAGTATTTTTAGGCCAAGTATGAAGAAAGGTTGTGTGCTTTCTGAAGTCATCCTTGAGTGAATGAAAAAGCAATGGAGCATTTTATCACATATTAGATGAGGACGGGGGTAAAGGAATCTTCATAAGATGTTCTCATTTAAAACCTACTTTTCTGTTGCATTCTCTTCTGGCAAAATACTGTTAGATTTTACATTTTCTCGAGAATGAAAAGCTAGCACAATGTCTACACTTTCTCTGCTTATATAGCTTCAGTGAAACTATATTACCTCTTTGGCCCTCTAGATTTTACTCCTAGGTTCTCTCTAGATTCAAGAACCTGGACTGTGTTCATGTGTAGAAAAGGTTTGCATAATCTGGGATTTTACCACCACCCTGAAACACTTTGTGAAAGACATCACTGATGTTAGGGAAATTTGGGTAAAGTATTAGGCATTAATTTCATTAATCTTTAAAGCAGCTGTTAAAGGGATATGATGGACCCAGGAACAATCAGGAGATTGCCAAACACTGAAATGCACAGAAGTACTTTAAGAGTAGCTATAGATTGAAGATGTGTAGGTTTATAGTACATTAAATCATACAGGTGTGTTTTCTTTAAGTCTGCAAAGTATCTGTAAAAGGTATGTGTTTAAAGCTGTGGGGGGGCATAGACATTTTTTCCCATTTGCTTTCAGCTATATTTCCCCAAGCATAGGAGCCAGTCACATCCTTCATAAGGATAGATGAGTTACTAGTGGTTGAATGATTAAATTGTTGCCCTGGGAATTTTGATTAATTGGAAGGAAATGTACCTAAGTCCTAAAGACAATAGTATTGATAGCAGGCCTAAGCAGAAGGCAGAAGAAAATGAAGCATGAGATGTACTATGAAGCATTCATCAGAGAGGGGTGTGCATTTGCTTTGGGTACAGCTTTAATCCAGCACAGAAATGGCCTGTTCTGAAGCTATTCAGGCTTTTCCCAGCCAAACCAGGGCTTTGCTAAAACAGTTAGAATAGGAATAATAGATAGGACTGTTTTCCAAGTGTCTGGTCAGAATAGAAATTCTGACAGAGGACACAGTCAGGGTCAAGGCTCATGTCTTGGGTACTCGCCTTACTCAGAAGTAAGGTATTTTTTGTGATTGACAGTTCTAGCTCCCAATCAGGGGCTAACTTTACCAGGGTGCTTCCCTTCCCTTCTTAAAAGTTGCAACCACTGTGCCTTTGGGATAGATGTAGAAAGATCAACTGATTGGTTGTTGTCAGTTGAACAGAAAACAAAAACAAATCCTCCAGCTGTTTGTCATTCACCATCGCCCTCCTAACTGCTGTACTCATTATTATGAATTTTACATATATAAAGGTATCTCTAATATGTTTGCTATTTTCTTATGAACTGGTCCCCAAAAATCATGGAAGCAGGACAGAGAACTGAATCCTGTCATCACTCCAAACTCTGTACAAGATTCTTAGTATTCCCTTGTCCACAAGCATCGAATTTGGGAATATTGGCTGCTATCTATGGAATCTGATTATTGATATGTCTGGTACAGTGTGTACTTTGAAGGACAGCAGATCAGGGTCCTTTCTGAAGATTGAACCAAGGACCTTCTGTATGTGAGATATATGATGTATAGATGAGTTATACCTCTTGAGCCTAACTTTCCAGTTCTGAAAAAACATGCTTTTAAAGTGGGGCACATTGCATGATCTCCTTGTTTAAGCTGTGGCACCTGCCTAATTACCTGGCCAGGCATGACTTATCATCTGTACATCTGCAGCATGTCTTTTTGGAGATAGAAACACCCTCAAAAAATTCAACTGTCCATGGAATATTAGAAGGTTGTTTCTTCATCCAACAAACCCTGTTGCTTGAGTTCAGACAAGCTGTGCCTAGGGGTGCAATTAGGAAAAAGGTACCTGGAATGTGTTGCAGATTAAACAAGCCATTGTGTCTTCTTTGAGCCATGGTGGTCACGAAAACTGGGCCATAATTCTGTGGATGTGCACACACGCTCAGAACTAAAGTTATTTGAGGAAAAGTTATGGAGTAGAAACCTGAGAAGGTATTTTAATGGTTAGGGGAGAGCAAAGACAGAATGCACCCATGCTTCTGCTTAAGCACAAATCTGGGAACTTCCTGAACCTTCAGCTTACACTTTGAACTATGTATTTCAGTGGTATCTAAAATCAGTCTTCCCAGATTAGCAATTAAATGGCATGACAAAATTCCTGCTTTAATTTTAACATAAAATTAAAAATAACACCGGAAGAATGAATTCAGATGAGTGACTCTGTTCCATGAATGGTGCTTACTTTATATGCAGCTAAATGATTAATGTGATTTTTTTAGTTTAGTAGTAATTTCAGAACAGAAATTGGAACAGAATATGAAGATAAGGAAATGCAAGGTGACTGTTCTCTTCTTGTTGCTGTTAAAAACAACTTGCCTACGATATCAAGGTCATTTGGATGAGATCTGTTCAATCAATTGGCTTTGGAAGCAGTTGATTCACTGCATACATGTAGCCACTGTGTATAGTCTTTGCTACTTCGGGTATGTATTCTCTTCAGAATAGTCTTGTTTTTTGTCTTCCCTTGTTACCTATGGCCAGAGGTGATAATGGTGCTAAATATCTGAACATTTTTGGGGTTGCAATCTGAATTATTGGTTGCATTCTCATTTCAATGAATATGTGTATGTGCATACACACACATGCATGGTTAAGTGCATGCTTTTGTACTTAACCAGTTTTAAAGCAATCTCCCCTTCCTCTCACTTCAACATAGATACTAAAGTGTTTTTGTAGGATTTTTCTTATATTTGAAAGCAATGCAAAATGCATAAATCAGACTTGTTCACTGACAGCTCCAAATCCTTATAGATCATTAACATCAGCAGTAGCATCCAGAGGATGTATTTGGAAGCAAAGTAACCAGATTTTATTCAATTGGCTGTAAAGCTTGTCCAGTTCCAAATGTTTGAAAGTTTAAAAATGAATTAAATAGTTAACAAATTGTTGAACAAATCCAGTTCTGGAGCAACTGCTACTAACCCATGCACTCATAGACTGCTACTGAAGGCTATCACACCTCAGATCTGAAAGATCTGCAATTTCCTGGTAATCTTAGCACTTAAGCAAATATATTAGAATTATTGTAATTTACTCTATGCAGGGATACAAAAAGCAAAGCTAGTCCAAAATGCTGTAGCCTCTTTACTAATAAGTCTTAGTGCACACTAAAGCATACTAAACTGGCCGGTTTGCAATTGCTGATTTTTTTCTTTCTTTCTTTCAGTGGAGCCTGATTGGAGTTGTTTATAAATGCATATCCTTTCCTTACTTTCTGGACCCAGTTCAAACTGCTGTTTTTGCCTTCCTAAGCTCTCCACCTCTTGGCATCTTGGGACCTGATGGGACATCTCTTTCTGTATATCCCTCTACAAACTTGCAGGTCATCTGCCAAAGACTTTCTTCAAGTGCCCCCTCATTCTGAAGCTCTTTCCATGCTTTCCTCACCTCTAGAATTCAAAGGCAGGCTCATCTGGCATCCACACTGCTATCTCTTCAGTGCTGGGCTAAAGTTTAAACTTTTCTGTTTTTCAAGGTTTTTGAAATGTTTTTAAATGTTTTAATGTATTTTAACTTTTTTTCTATTATTTTACATCATTATGCCACTCTGTTTTGTTTGTTTGGCTGCACCTTCCAATACCTGCACACCTGACTAAGCAGGCTGGGACTGATGGGCACAGTAGGCAAAATCACCTGGAAGTCCACCAGTTGCAACCTGTTATACCGGACACTGTATTTTACACTGTTGCTACATTTATTAGTTCTCAATTGTTGATATTCTTACATGGTAGAAATAAATAAGAATGATGCTTACATTGTAAATCACCCAGATACAAATTTTTTATGAGGAACTTAATTCAAGAACCTTTGTTCTTTAATCAGACTGGGTCTGCCATAGGCAAGAGTCTGTAACCTCTCAGATGGACTTGTCTGCTTTCCATGATCTTCTAGAAAGTCTTTACTTAGGGAGGGTCCAGTGTTTGAAGCAACATCTGGTGAAGCCCAAGACAAAGCATTTTTTAAAAGAGTGTGGTAGTTATAATTGGTCTCCTACCAACATCCACCAGACCACCTTATTAGTAATATTTCAACCCTTGTAATCTTCTTGTGTCTTTTAAAAAGCACTTCATTATCCAAGCCCTGCATTTGTTTGGTATGTTTCTATTCCACCATGGAACCCAAGCTGGAAAAGGATTTCCTAGGATTGTTTTTATTAATATTTTATTATCTGAGCATCTGGTTTAATTTAACAAATTATCTAGGGTTGGAGAGTTATTCTGCAAATGGAAGGGATCCTACCATACATAAATAGGGATTAGATCCAAAAGAGGCTTTTCTGCTCAGGAAATTGTCCCCAGGGCTATGCTCATTCTATTAGTCTCCCCCAGCCCTTTGGGGGAGAATATCTGTACAACTGTAGGCGTAGGTAGGAGGAGATAGTGAAAACCACTGCCACTCTTTAATGTAGCAGAATATTGTATGGGATTCAATATATTGCAGAATATTGTATGGGATTCTGTGAAGTGGTAACAGAGCAGTGATACATTTTATAAATCAATAATTCAATGTCTTTCATGTTTAATGTTGTGTTTCAATGTGTATTACTGTCTTATTATTTATGTATCTATTTTGAGGGATTGGGGTGGTCATGATTGTAAATGACCCTAAGGACAATTGTCAGTTGGCCAGAATATAAATCTAATACATAAATAAAATATGTTACAAACTTATATCAGTTTTATACCAACTTTAGTGTTATGACTTCCTAAAGGCTTTTGCTTCCTAAAGCCTTTCTAAAGGCTTTTGCTTCCTAAAGCCTTTAGCAAAGTTTAGCACACTAGTTTAGTGCAGAGCTTTTGAAAGCCTTTCTGTACTGTTGATTTTAATTCATTTTTTATTCTTAATTTTGTCTTGGCTTTTAATTTTTGCAAGCTCATTTTAACACCAGATTTGATGTGAAGATGGTACAGTTAAAACAAATAAAGAAATAAAACTTATTTACCAGGTTTTCTCGGAGACAGGGAACGATACATTTAATTGGATGTTTTATAGCCTTGGGTAAGTATTCAAGTGCTAGGTTTGCTCCACTGCATGAAAAAATAACCAACCCCCTTTTCTTTCCTTCTGTTTGCAGAGCTAAGTGCTTCCTTTTTTTCTGGGTTTGTATTCCATTGACTGGAGATGGAAGGCCAACTACCTCCCTCCTGTTCAGGGTTTTAAATAGTGAACCAAAATGTTAAAAGAATGAAATTTTGTTTCCAGAAAGTGATTGGATTTTCGTCCGGTTCCTCAGTGTATTATATCCCCCTCCTTCATTTTGAGTCCTAATGCATTTTCAAACCTCATAGAACATTAATGCTTCTTTTATTTCTGTAAGAGGTTGAACAGTTAAAAGTGAATGCAGAGCTTTTAAATCTATGGATGCTGATCTGTGGACTGTGGCTGAAAATGGATTATGCACCTTTAGCATTTTATATAGAGTAGATACGGAGCAGTGTCTCAATAATTTCTGTCCTGCTCCACTAAATAACCCCCTGGCCCTTCTGCTTCCAGGTGCCCTGCACTCACACAAAAAGACTCAAGGAAGCACACAGCATGAACTTTTCTTACTATCTGGACAAGATGGAGGAGCTATTTATCAGCACTTGAGCAAGGGATTGCTGGATGGGGGTTGTACTTGCCCTCAGCATGGTGGGAGGTTTTAGATCCAGCTTTGCAAATGGATATCCAAATACTGCCTGTGGCAATTAGCACCTTCTGCCAATTTCAGTTGATGCTCCAGCCACGATCCTTCCTAGAGAGGTATGATTTTGCCATAGATAAATATCTATACCTTGGTCATGCCTATGCTTGACTACAGAAAAACCATCTGGAAAGCAGCTTGATGCTACCTGAGAAAAGAAAGTGGGCATACTCACCAGGCTTTGAAATACTGGCTACCAGTTGGCTTCTTTTGCTCTTGCTAAACATCCAAAGGCCATGCCAAACTGGATGACAAAGGATGAAAGGGAAGAGATGGAAGGAGCTTAGAAGAATGGGGTTCAAGAACCAGAGATGATAGAAGTGCCAGTTATCTCCACAAGCACTCAGGTTCTGGGAATAGTTAAGATGCACAAGTGCCAGCCAGGGTTATGGAAGAGCAGCTCTCAGAGTCAGATGAATCTGGTATGTCTCTTGACCCCATGACATCACGTCGGGAAAGGAGGGAATGCCAATTTGGAGGATAAGCATATAGAAAAGGAGGCAGGCTTGCTTCCAAAGGGGCCCTTTGGAAGGGATCAGGCTCAGGCATACTCAAAAGCAGAGTTTCTGGAAGGAGTAGTTTAGATTGGGTTCAACTACTCAGGGATACATTCTGTGAGGGTTGCATTTGCTGAGCATCCTTTGATGTATAAAGAGCTTTTGAAAAGAAATGGTCTGTTGCCTTGAATGTGAGAAGGGAAGAAAACTTGGCTCACAACACTTCTCTACTTATTGTCTGGCACACCCCACCTTTTCAGTTTCTGCAGTCCCAAATACACAGGTAAAGCAAGAAATTCTTGAATGTGTGATGGTGGGTAAAGATGCTTGCAGTCAGAAACACCTATAACTTGTTACAATTGTGCAGCCGCGTCCTATGCATATTCACTCAGAAGTAAGTCATTTTAAGTTCAGTAGGACTTACTCTGCAGGATTGCTGCCTTTACGTATTATTTAAAATGTATTTTACTTAAGTAAAAATAACAGTTATAGTTAGTTAATTGTGCAAAATAGGGAAATTTGCATGTGTGCATATTTTGCATAATCTGTTTCATCTCATCATAGGGCAAAGAGCTACACAGTACAGTAAAACTTTGAAATCCGAAAGGGCTGGTAACACACTGTAAAAACAAAGCCCTAAAAGCTGGGATTCCTCAGATGCTGAATTCTGCCACTCCACCAATTTCTGTAGAGGCACTGCCTGTATGAGGAATTGCAGAATACTAGCCTTAGCTGAGGCTTCCATTTCACCCAAACTTGATCCATTATTACAATCATCCTGTGCTCTGATGGTGCATGGCACTTGTGTATCTTTTAATACAGTTTCTTCTTGCCTTATGAACTGCAGGCAATGTTAATATTCATATAAATATCACATTGTTTGAGCCAACAAAAGCTTGTGCAGCTTGACATTTCACTAGATACGGTATACTGTATAAAAATGCTCCTTTAATTTTCCCAGCTTGCTAAACAACTTCCCTAATGACATTTTATAGCTTTGCAATAGACTGTTCTGGTAGAAAACAAAACCAAACCGAATAATTTTCTTTCTGTTTTCCACCAGCAAAAATAACTTTTTTTCTTTGATCTTGAGAAACAAAATGATCATAACAGTGTTTCAAGAAGTTATGTACAATTGTTATGGTCATGCTTCATTGCCATGCAATACAACCATACTTGATATTCTTAAAACCTATTTAGGTATTATCTTTCCATTTAAACTTTACATACTAGACAGAGAAGCAAGGACAAATGTCCCTTCCATTGTTCTCATTGGCTCCCACACAAGGGTGGTGGTTATCTACAGAGGACAGCCTGAGATCCAAGATTGCACAAGAAGAGAATGAGAATGCTAATCCCTGGGACTGTTTTTCTGACCACAGAAGGAACATGATTTTATGGACTCTAGCTGACAGTAATTGTTTTAGCTAGACTGCTAATTCATAGATTGTAATGGTTGCTTTATGATCCTTCTGTGGGATCTAATTGTGATAAAATAGAAGATAGGAATGCATTTGTTGCAGTGAAAAAGCAAGAGTTGGATCTTGGGGCCAAAGTCCCAGATTCCACAGCTCAGAGTCCCCTATGACCACCCAGAGAGTGGCATGTGATAACACACCACAAACATGTCCAGCTTTAGCACCTGGGCAGCCATTCTGTGTGTGTGTATGTGAAAGAGAATCGTATAGTGAGGGAGTGGCCAGTTGGATATCTGCAACATGACTACAGATGCTCATTTTAAATAGTTTAAACTATTATTATTTTAAATAGTTACGTTTTAACATAACATTTAATCTTTTTGGCACCTGGGTAGCTAAAGCAAACTCCATTCTGTGCTTGTAATCATGATGGGACTTTGTTTTAAGTGAGTTTAAAATGCACAGTTGCACCTGAAGAGAAATGTTTAAAATCAAGGTTGGACAATAATTGTTTTTATTTCAATTGGATGTATCAGAAAAGCAGAAACAGTTGTAAATAAAACATGGAATGTCGCAGAGGGCAGAGAAAGAAGAGAAATATTAGTTGTGCACTTCACAACTGAACTAATACCATGCACTTCAGGGTCTAAAACTGCCTGGCACCACTGATTTGCTGTGTGACGGATATAGCTGCCAGAGCTTGGGGAAATTAATGTCCCTTTAGCTAAGGAATGAAATTATAACTTTTTGTAAGCCACCATGGGAAATTTCTGAAGGGCAAAGGATATATTCCTTCAATAAATTAATAGATAACGGGGAGCTTGTCTAAGAGGTGTGTGGGGGTGGGGGGGGGGGAGCACAGGAGCTGGGTCCACATGGCATGACAAGCAGCCCTGTGCAGTTTCCATGGTGCATGGTTTTTTGCCTGGATGTACCTGGCAGATGGCTAAATGGCTTCTATGGTAGTGTGGTTTCCACCCACCTTGCTTAATCTTCTTGCTGTTGGCATGTACCCCAGCATCACCAAGCATGAAATTCAGTCCATGCAGCAACTCTTTCCCTCTTTCCAGAATGCTCTCTGATAGCTGCACACCAAGACCATGGAAATCATGGTGCCAGGTTCAGACAATCAGAGAAACCACAGTAAAGTATGGAAAGCTTAAAACATACCATTGTTTCTTTGGCTTCTAAAAAACAAATGTACCATGCTGAAATACCATGACAGAGTTTGAATGATGTGACAGATGATCTTGTGCAAGAAACCACCATGGCTTCTCATGTCATGTGAACCTGCCTAGAGAGATGTGAAGCTGATATGCTAAAGGCATCTTGGAGGAGCAGGGCTCCTCTCTTTGGGGATCTGTTGCGGGACAGTGGATTTGCTATCTTGTAGGAATGCACCTTT